AAAAAAAAAAAAAAGGAGAAAAAAATTAAAATAATTATAATATTTTTAAAAAAAAAAAAAAAAAAAAAAAAAGCTGCCCTGAGTCCGGCTCCCTAAAAAAAAAAAAAACCGCCTTGTGCTGACGTCTGGGGAAAAAACCACGCTCCCAGCCCAAACTTTCTTCCCCTGCTCTTTGCTCTGGAGCTGTTCAAACAAACGCCCCTGCTCTGAGCCGAGCGGGGCGGCCCCTCGCCCCCCCCGGCCCTGCGACCTGCCCCCTGCCCGGGAGCGAGCCCCGCCGGCAGCCAAGCCGCGGAAAGGGGGGCAGAGAGGGGGGCAGAGCCGCTTCCCCCCCTCCTTCGCTCCCCCGCTTATCCCATCCGCATCACACCCCCCAGCCCTGTTTTAAGTGCTTCTATCAACAAGTGTAAGTGGCTGCGCTCCGTGGGGAGGGATGGGGTGGGCTGGGAGAGGGGCTGGAGGGAGAGGTGACCCGCAGGTTAGCGGGGGACACGGCCCCCCTCCACCTCCAACCACCCCCCTCCTCCGGTCCCCATCAACCCCGGAGCAAGGTCACCTCTCCTGGGAAAAGCCTGGCTCTCTCGCCTTAATGAGATAATTACGTCCTGCACCACAGTTAAAAACTCATAGGCTGCTTCCCTTGGGGTTAGAAAGAAACCTCCCTAATGAAAACCAGCCACCGGGAATAAGGAGTTTTTCCTCTTTAAAATGATATGTATTTCTATATAAATATAGATACATGCGCACAGATATGCGGGGAGGAGGCGGTGGGAGGGAGGAAGGGAGAGGGGCAGCCCCGGCGCTGGTTGCTGGTGTCCGGAGAGCTCTGGCCTCGGGGCGATGAGCACAAATCGAAGAGGTTAAACAATTTTTCCTTCCCTTCGATCCCAGCCGCTCTCCTGCCCCGCTGCTGCGGGGACATTTGGACGGGGCTGCGCTGGGCTCCACGCGAAACCAAGCGAGCTCGGCCGGCTCTGAGCTCATAAACATCCCTGCTCCAGCACGGCCGAGGGAGGCAAACCCCTGGCTGAGTTATTTTAACATTTGCCGAAAGCTTTTCTTGCGCTCCCTTCCCCTCCAGTCGGAGGCGTGCAGATTTTTAAGGCAGCCAGCGCTGCCAGATCTGATCTTCCTGACGGGGAAGCGGCTTCCCAGAGCTCTCCAGCTTGGAAGGGGTGCAGCTGAAGGCAGATTTTGGCTCTTTCCAGCTCTGCGGGGGGCTCCTCCAGTGTGCAAACAATCCAGCCCAGCCTCCCTTCCCCCTCTTTTTTGGGGGGGGTCCGTTTATGGGTTCTGCCGGTCCGATTCGCTGTCCCCAGGGGCGTTTTGGGAGCCAGCTCCGGTGTCCGGTTCTGTCCACTCGGGCTGATGTCACCCTGCCTCTGCTCCTGCTTCCCCGCGGGATGCTCCAAAGATGGGAACTGTGGTCCTGCCCAGCCCGGCTGGACGTGTCCCCTGTCCCCCCGTGCCAGGGCAGCGCTGTGCGCGGCGCTTCTGCGCTCCGAGAGTGTTTTGGAGCGCGAATCAATGGCCAGCAGCCCTCCTGGCTGCTCCGTGCTCACGGGGAGAGGGTGGCTGCATCCCCCCGGGGACCACCAGGCTCTGGGGGACCCAGCACAGCTTCGTGACACCCTTCCCTCACTCCATCCTGCTTTTTGCCACCGTGGGACAGACCCCACCCAGGATGGAGACGACCCCGTGTCCAGGAGAAACCGCCCCGACCCTTCAGCAATGGGCACTGGTTGGCTGCTGAGGGGGGCAGGGCAGTGGGGACCCCCATCCTTGGGATGCCCCAGCACCCCCCTCTTGTCTCCAGAGCTGGGAACATCCTGCTGGGATTATTTTGGGGGTGGCTGGTCTTGGCGCATGGAGGGGCGAGGGCAGGAGCGGGGGATGGAGCAGCCCCACCCCCGTTTATAACCCTCTTCCTCCTCCTTGTTTAGGGCCAGACCTTATTCTTGAACTGTCTGGCTTTTCCAGGGGAGACAGCTCCCCCTCAGTCCTTGGCATTAAATAATTAAATGGAGGGAATAATCGTCGGTGAAACCCCCTTGGGTTCGCACTTCCTCGGGCCCTGTGATTGCTGATATTTTTTTGGTTGAAATATGACCTTTTTTATGATCAAAGGGGATCAGAGTTCCAAAGGAAAGTTTAAAAAAAAAAAAAAAAAAGGGAAAAAAAAAAAGAGGGCCAGCACTTTCTTTTTTCCCCCAGTCTTAGTGGTCTGGTAAAGTTTCTTTAGACATGCAAAGATTTACACACCTTTCTGCAGGGTGCCTTAAATTACCCTCCAACTCTTTACACATTTCCATGAACAGAGCAAGAACAGTAAGTCATTGAGAAATTAACTGGCCTTTCAATAATATCCCCTGTCGGCCTTTCAGAAGGAGAATGTCTAATGACTTTTTTGAAGTAGAGGTCAGGGTTTGCTTTTTTTAAATAAAACAATCTGTATTAATGCAATTTCCTTTTTAGCTGTAGGATTTGCCCTTTTTTTTTTTTTTTTTTTTTTTTTTTTTTTTTTTTTTTTTTTTTTTTTTTTTTTTTCCTCAGCATCGTTTTTTTAACACCACCAGCCACACGAGGCATCCCAAGCAAGACCTGGTTGCTTGAGACACACACTCCTGGTGTTCCCTAACCTGCTTGTGCAAGCTCTTATCATTTAATTTTTTGGTAAAAATTGTGTTTTAAACTGGACTTCGAAGCTGGCAAGGTGACTCTTAGCTTTGGGTGGTGCAGAGATGGAGCTGAGCAGGTTTGCTTTACCTGACAGCAGCACCTGGGTTTTGCTGAGCTGGGTGTGAGCTCTGAGTCCAGCTTTGCTGGGCCAGAACTGCTGGGTGATGAAGCAGAGGCACTGAGCTGGAAGAGCTGTGCTGGGCCCCTCAGAGCTGTGCTGGGCTGTGCTGGGCTGTGCTGGGCTCCTCAGGGCTGTGCTGGGCTCCTCAGAGCTGTGCTGGGCTGTGCTGGGCTGTGCTGGGCTGTGCTGGGCT